TTAAAACACATGGGAAGATATCTGAGAAGTTCCCTAATATGTTTTAAATAACCAGTATTTTAAATATTTTAAATTATTTAGCACTTTAATTTGCTGACTTAATTTAGCCCAAGGGACAAGGATGTTAATGAGAAACTATTACTAGACCTTAGGTCATAGATTTAAGAAAGGATCTCTAAACCAAATATTTCTGCCTAAAGTGTTCTTTGTGTTTTTCACCACTGAAAATGTTTAAAGTTTGACTTACTTATGACTGATATTCAAAATCTCTGATATGTTAATATTTTAAATAGCTTATACTGAAAAGCATATGTTGCTATTAAAAAAGGTGGCAAATATACAGTCTGGGACTAGTGTTAGTTTATAGTATTTAATTGAAGTGGTGCCAAAAAAATATTGAGATGAATAACTTTTATTAATTTCCAACATCAAACATTTGCAGAGTATCCACTGTGTGTAAAGTACAACATTAAGCACCAGGATTACAAAGAGAAATAAAATGTAGTTTGTGCCCTCAAGAAGTTAGCAGTGTAATAAAAGAGATATGTAAGTATCAATTACAGTGATGTCATAACATATTCTAATGAGATATGTACATAATACAGTGGTGGCCATAGTTGGTTGTCTTTATCTGTTCGTGCTGTTATCTACAAAATACCGTAGACTGGGTAATTTATAAAGAACAGAAATTTATTTCTCATAGTCCTGGAGGCTGGGAAGTCCAAGATCAAGGTGTTGGCATCTAGCAAGGCCTTCTTGCTGCATCCCTTGATATGGTGGAAGAACAAGGAGGCTAAAACACTCCCAAAAGCCCTTTCTATAGTCGCTTAATCCATTCAGGCGGGGCAGAGCCCTCATGATCTAAACACCTCTCAAAAGGCCCCACTTCGCAACAATGTTAAATTGGGGATTAAGTTTTTTTTTTTTTTGAGACAGAGTCTCACTTTGTTGCCCAGGCTAGAGTGAGTGCCGTGGCGTCAGCTAGCTCACAGCAACCTCAAACTCCTGGGCTCAAGTGATCCTGCTGCCTCAGCCTCCCGAGTAGCTGGGACTACAGGCATATGCCACCATGCCCGGCTAATTTTTTTCTATAATTGTTGGCTAACTAATTTCTTTCTATTTATAGTAGAGACGGGTCTCGCTCTTGCTGGGTGGTTTCGAACTCCTGACTGAGCAATCCGCCCGCCTCGCTCCCAGAGTGCTGAGATTACAGGCGTGAGCCACCGGGCCCGGCGGGATTAAGGTTTTTTTTTTTTTTTTTTTTGTGAGACAGAGTCTCGCTTTGTTGCCAGGCTAGAGTGAGTGCCTGGCGTCAGCCTAGTCACAGAACCTCAAACTCCTGGGCTCACGGGATCCTCCTGCCTCAGCCTCCCGAGTAGTTGGGACTACAAGGCATGTGCCACCATGCCCGGCTAATTTTTTATATATATCAGTTGCCAATTAATTCTTTCTATTTATAGTAGAGAAGCGGGTCTGCTCTTGTCAGGCTGGGTTGAACTCC